GGTTTCTCTCCTGTGTGAGTCCTCTGGTGTATCACCAGGCTGGAATTCCAACTGAAAGTTTTCCGACAATCAGGACATTCAAAGGGTTTCTCTCCTGTGTGAGTCCTCTGGTGCTTCACCAGGCTGAAATTATCATAGAAACGTTTCCCGCAATCAGGACATTGAAAGGGTTTCTCTCCTGTGTGAGTTCTCTGGTGTCTCACAAGACTGAAATTATCACAGAAACTTTTCCCACAATCAGGACATTCAAAGGGTTTCTCTCCTGTGTGAGTCCTCCTGTGTGTCACCAGGCTAAAATTCCAGCTGAAACTTTTCTCACAATCAGGACATTCAAAGGGTTTCTTTCCTGTGTGAGTCATCTGGTGTTTCACCAGATTGGAACTCTGACTGAAACTTTTCCCACAGTCAGGACATTCAAAGGGCTTTTCTCCTGTATGAGTCCTCTGGTGTGTCACCAAGCTGGAACTCTGACTGAAACTTTTCCCGCAATCAGGACATTCAAAGGGTTTCTCTCCTGTGTGAGTCCTCTGGTGTATCACCAGGCTGGAATTGCAACTGAAACTTTTCCCACAATCAGGACATTCAAAGGGGTTCTCTTCTGTGTAAGTCGTCTGGTGTGTCACAAGGCTGGAATTATCACAGAAACTTTCCCTGCCATCAGGACACTGAAAGGGTTTCTCTCCTGTGTGAGTCCGCTGGTGTCTCACCAGGCTGAAATTATCACAGTAACTTTTCCCGCAATCAGGACATTCAAAGGGTTTCTCTCCTGTGTGAGTCCTCCGGTGTGTCACCAGGCTGAAATTCCAACTGAAACTTTTCCCACAATCAGGACATTTAAAGGGTTTCTCTCCTGTATGAGTCCTCTGGTGTTTCACCAGATTGGAACTCTGACTGAAACTTTTCCCACAATCAAGACATTCAAAGGGTTTCTCTCCTGTGTGAGTCCTCTGGTGTGTCACCAGCCTGGAATTCTGACGGAAACTTTTCCCGCAATCAGGACATTCAAACCGTTTCTGCTTGGTGTGAATCCACGTGGCCATGCTCGCTAAAGCATTTACCGCATTGGGAGCACTTGTAGGGTTTTTCTTGGATGGATCGTTCGAAGAACCACAACCAAGTTGTTCCGATCAAAGGTTTTGCCACATTTAGATTACATGTAAGGCTTTTCTCCAGTCTGGATCCTCTCATGCATAATCAACTCTGATTTGCAAGTTGTATCTTTCCCACAACTGGCACATCTATGGAGGTTTTCCACAACTAATATTCTTGAGGAGGTCAAAAGTATTGCCTATCCTTTGTTTAGACGTGTTTTGTTTTACAGGTCATTTTCTTCCTTCCAGAATGAGGCCTGCAACACTGTATGCTCTACGTGGCTTTCCAGTTGACGTTTGCCTCCTGAATGACTTTTTCACTTCCCTCTTTTGATGAATGGAAAAATAATCTCTATTGACTTCTCATGTAACGTATGCTTGGATTTCACACACTACTTTTCCCAGGTAGAAATCTCTTCTTCCTCTTCTCCCATTTCTCTCTTACCTCTTGAGGAAGGTGAAGAATTCTGTGGTGCTTTTAAGGAAATGAAAAATATTTTGATTTCTGGACTGACTTGCTTTGTTATTCAATGTTGCTTGTTATCCTCAGTTGTCCAGAGTGCTCTTATCGCCATCCTCTTTGTCTATAAAATTGAAATAAAAGGGTATCTTTAATGGTTGCAGAACATGAGAAAGAAAACTATTACGTTTACATTACAATGAAAAATTATGAAATTCAGTTGTTGACTGGGTCAATCACAAATTCTTAGCAATGCAAATGATTTTTTTCAAATACAGTCAAGTGAAAAAGAAAGATCATGCTCTTTCATTTCTATTGTTTTAGGATGCGAGAACCAGAGGAGGGTTTTGGTTAGCTACTTGGGAAATATAGTATCAGGCCACAGTATTAACCTGGATGAAAGAATGGATAACACTGAGAAATAGAAGGTTGTTAACGCTTGAGGGACGTGATTTACAACTGGGCTGGCATGCATTTCTATGGTATGGGAGAAGGAAAATATATAGATATTTTCAAAGACATATAGTCAGGAATGCATTGTTATTAGTATGAGAAAAAAACCTAGAGAACAACATTACATGAAGATTCCAGTCTGGCTATCAACAATGGAAGCACTCATAGACCCAAATGTTTGTAAAATGGGAACTATTGTTAGATATAAAGATATCTGAAATGAAAAGGGTGAGCTCAAAACTAAACAAGAATTTAATAAACAAGGGTTGTAAATACATTAGTATTCATTTATGCAAATACAATCCAGATATGAAAAAGAGATTAAAGCTGAAGGGATTCATAAGGAGTTGACAGAATTGGATAACATACTAATAGAAATGGAAGATAATTTGCAAGATTAAAATATTATATAGCTATAATATATTATATAAGTGTTAAACTAGAAGAACAAGTTAAAGAAACAATGATAGCATGGGCAAAAATGTTTGGATATGCTATAGTATTAGATAAATGGCAGAAGCTACGGGATAGGAATTATAAATTAACAAGATCAACAGCATACAAACAATGCTAAGATTTTTTATAGATGGCATTTTGCACCAGCAAAATTAGCTAAGATGTTCAAAGATAAATCAGGTAAATGCTGGAAGTGCCACCAGATACCTGGAACGTATTACCATACATTTTGGTCTTGTATAGAAGCTAAAAGACACTGGACAAAAATACGCAGATGGTTGGAAAAACGTTTAAAACACACAGATTTGAAACCTGAAACATTTTTATTAGGAATAGTACCTGAAGGTTATAGTAAAAAAAAAAAACATATTTAATTATACATGTATTAACAGCAGCCAGAATTGTATTTGCTCAGAATTGGAAAAGTGATAAGATACCAATAGAGGGAAAAGTAATTGAGAAAATATTTGAATGTGCAGAGATGAAAAGGTTAACATTGGTAATTAAAGAAAAAGAAGAAATGGAATATTATATGGTATAGGATTTATTTTATCAATGGTTAGAAAATAAAATAAATTAAAAGGGACCAGATGAATATATAGAGCAGTAAGTTAAGATTGTTAAAAATAATAATAGATATATTAAATAATGGCTATAAGAAAATGTGATTCTTGTTATATTGGTAAGAAAAGTATTAATTATAATTGTAAGCACAAGATATATATATCTATATATATATCTAGTTGACACACGTTTGAAATGAAATGGGATTATTGTAAAATACAAAATATTTTTTAAAATAATAATAATAAAAAAGAACAGAATAGAATTGGAAGGGACCTTGGAAATCGTCTAATCCAGCCCTTGCTCAAGCAGAAGGCCCTATACTATGTCAGACAAGTGGTTGTCTCATCTCTTCTGAAAAGCCTCAAATGGGGAGACTGGTTGGCGGCACGGCGGGAATGGCTGAAAAATAGTGGAGCTCCGCCGAGCTCTGTGAAAACCAGCCAGTATCTGCTGGGAGACCCGAAAGCAGAGGTCTCCAAACTTGACAACTTGAAGACTTGTAGACTTCAATTCCCAGAATTCTCCAGCCAGCTATGGGAGTTGATGTCCATAAGTCTTCAAGCTGCCAAGTTTGGGGACCCCTGCCCTACAGAGTCAAAACCGCCCTGAAGAGGTGATGAAGGAAGGAGAGGTGTGTTGGGTATATTGATACACCAACTAGGTTTGGGTGAATAAATATAT